CCCCATGAGTTGTCAGTCCGCCCCTGAAAACAACAATACACAGGTAAAAAACCTTAAGAACCAAACCATAGCAGTTGCTCAGCATAGGAAGAAGGAGTAAAACACCTGGGATTATCATGTGGAACACCAACTCCTGGACTCAATGTGCAAGGGAAAGGGGCAAGGTAACACCATAAAGCGCTAGCAGTAAAGGAGCATACCACTTATCCCTAATTGACTTATATGCTTTATGATGTTTCTTATGACTGTGGATTTTAATCATGATTGTTCTGTCCATGGGATCTTGAAGCTTTATTAACAAAACAGGGTGGGTGAAACTGTCAAAAACAGATGAGAAATACAATCAATAAAAGAATGTACAGAAAACACAATTAATGGTTAGGCTATAGATGGCGATAAGTGATTCTCACCAGCGATGCTCCCATTAGTGGATGCAAAAGGATGTAAGTTCCAGTTCAACATGTGACCTGACAGCTGGCTCCTTTTCTCCTAGTCTCTAAGATGGAGTCTGGATTCCCAAGAAGCATCTCTTCCCTTTCTCTCAGAATTATGGGGATTTTTTAACTCTTATGCCCCGTACACACAATACGAAAATGTTCATATGAGGACCGATCGTCTGATAATCGGATCATTAGTACACAGCTTTTGAGAGCCAATCACGACAATTTGTTCTACAATATCCGAAGGGACAAGTGTGAAAATTGTTCTCGTACGATACCAGATCGTACGATTTTCGTTTTAATCAGTACAGTAGGCGTCCGAAAATACAATACAAATACATGATATCAATTTCAAAATTATTTTCTTTCGTACAAGAATTTTCATATCTTTAGTAACCTTTTCAATTTCGGTGTGAGACTAGCAGGTGAAAAAAAACGGATGATTTTTTTGTCCGATATTCTCATTGTGTCTACGGGGCTTTAATCTTATCTAAACAGTCTCTAGTTTCTGTAAAACAGTACATTTATTACTGGCTCTATCTATTGGCTGAATTTATTATTTCAGGCTGAATTATTCCTGCTGGAGACAGAACAATGATTGGAATTTGTTTTTTTTAATGTAACAAATGCAGCCAGGGATTACATTGGTGAGACTGGACAGGAATTACAAAAAAATTAAAAAAACCCTACATAGACACACCATAAAAGAGCACAAGAACATTACTGCAAACCTTCGGGACATCATTTCTCACAACAAGATCACTGTTTGAAAGACATTAATGTTTAGGTTCTTAAAGGAAATTTAAAGAATATTCAGGAAAGGAAAACCTTTTAACTGTGAATGATGATTCTGTGTGACACAAGAAAGAGTGAATGTGGACCTCAGTTTTCTAAATCACTATCAAATAAAATACTGTAGTCTTTTGACCATTCTCACCTCTGGAATTTTTTTCCCTTCCTCACATTCCACAGCCCACCTGTCTAACCCTTTTTTTCTCAGAAATTGTTGTTTGTACAGTATTTTTCATAACGACTTGCTAAACCTTTCGTGTATCATTAGTTCTTGGACCTTAGCTCGAACGTTTCTCCTGAAAATGTAAAGCTACATACACAGAACAGTAGGTGAAGTTTGAATAAAGTTGTTCTATAGGATTCTACAAGTGAAAGTGTCCATTAGTACCTATCTATATCCATTTGCATCTAAGGTGTAGGAAGCACCCAACCTAACTGATACGTTTGATGTAGATAGTCCAGATACTCATTTTGACATTATAAAGAAACCAGTAAAGGGATTAGATTGAGAAGTCCAAATAAACAAATCCTGCTAGGACTGGATCTAGTGAAAAAGAAATAATTCACTTTTGTAAACACTAGTAGACAATTGGCTGCCCTGTAGCTAGGAGGATGTGAACGTGGAAGGAGGATGTGAACATTGTTCTGGAATCAGATGCATTTATTGTAAACAGCTGAGCCAGAGACCATCCCTCTCCTTTAAAATGGCTATAAAACTTCAATCAAGCTTCCTTCCACATTCTGCACAGCAAGACGACTGTGAGGTACAATAATCAGTGAATGTGAACACTATTGTATATCATGTCTTGGAATGCTGCATTAATGTTTTTGTTTCTTCTAGGTATTTCAAGAACACAAACATGAGTTTTTTTACAATTCTTATTCTTTCCACTGTGGCCAGTAAGTACAGTAAATTTAATAAGGTACACAATTAGTTTATTTTTTAGTCATCATCTGTAATCAAATATGTAGTGAAATTTACAAATCTAAAATGAAAAAAAATGCTCCATTACCATTGATATACATGTACATATGCTTTGATACTGACAAAAGGAACCGGGTATAGCAATGAACTGTTTTAGTCTTGGCTTCCAGGTTAATAAAGCTGAATTCTAGGCAGGGCACAAATGATTTGTCACATATTCCATAATTATGTGTTTGTGTGTATGATGGAATCCTTTGCAACCTCTTCCCACCCACAATGATAGGACCACATTCCTGTCTACAGAACATCTTCAACAGAAGTACTTCGCAGAAGCCTCTGCACTCACCTAAGCCAGTTAAATACAGTCCAAACCCAAATAGGGACAGCCTCTTCCACCCTAATCCATTTAGTCACTAGCCACACAAAAACACACAAATATATTTTTTTAAATAATGCAACTAACAAGGTGTAATAAGCTCTCTATCGATTACTCAGAAATCATGTGTTTGCTCTGCACACCTAAATATTGTTGCTTTCTGCATGATGTTAATCATCTTAGTGCATATGCCTAGGGTTGCCACCTCATCCCTTTAAACCTGAACACATATTAATTACACAGGTTCTGTGGCTGATTACGGTGGTAATTAAACTCACTTAGTGCCTTACCTGCGTTAATTTAGCTTTCACAACCTGTGCAATTAATATGTGTTCGGTTTTAAAGGGGTGAGTTGGCAACCCTACAAACACCCCAAGATGTTTTCTACCTTTTAAGGTCCACCAAGGATCAGAGTATAAAGCCTAGTAAAAGTGCACATTAGCATGATTAATGGCAGCCTTTGCCACCCCTCTGAAAGCAATCTGCCCTGGACCGCTTTCTAGAGAGCATTATGAGTGTTCCTGCCCAGTCCCCATACATCAGGTGCTATTCCATATTTCTAATAATCCCCTGATCTCTATGCCAGCCCGAAAAATTATTATTAGGGGGGGGGGTGTGACACCGTGTTTTATCACACCAGGTGACACGAACCCTAGTGATGCCACTGCTTGTGTCTTTTCTTTCAACCTGATTAATTATGTTACTAATACCTTTGGGCAGCATAATCTCTAAATGGAGATTTGACCGTGTGTGTTTTCTTTTCTAGCCACTGTATACACATCTGGAATCTATGGGGACATCAATAAAGTTCCCACGACTGGTGCTACTTGTGCAACAGCCAAGCAAGACAAGTTGAAATCTTGTGGTAAGTTATTACTAATCTGATTGTAGTGACTAAGGGGGCTACTTATATTATAAACCGATAACATTTTCTACAGGACACTGCAGCATTTTGTCCATGCTGCGTGCTGCATTTTACAAATCATTCATAAAATACAGGCTGTCGTGTGGAGTCTGGGGGGTCTTCTGCATAACTCTGCAGGGGAACGCTCTATTATAGGTAACAGTCATGCCTTTCCTAGATATTTTCTTTTCTTTCCTATTCAACAAAATGAGTGGAGCTTCTGTCCCAAAGCAAGCAAAGTGGAGTGCTATAAACTGGCAGATTTGCAGTCTATTAACAAAACAATGGTTGAAAAAGGCAAGAAAACAAATATTGTTAGTAGTGCTAAAAGAGACCAGTACTGAAAAAATACGTAGGCTACTATTGCTGAACTCTTCTTTTGAAAATTTATAATATTTTGTCTTTAGGCTGATCCTAATACTTTATGAGTTGCTAGTCTTCATTTGCTGATGACATACAAATTATTGACGCCAAGGACAGCATTTTCTGCAAGAGGTCAGCAATGGCATATTTCTCTCAGTAACTTTCCTTTTAATCATCTCAGCTGTCTATTTGTTGGCTGGAGTTTCACATCAATTTTTCTCCTTTATCTAGTACAGTGAATATATTATGTGATATTAAAAACCCAGCTCTTGGAAACTTGAAAACTTTCCCTTGTAGTGGAGCTGCACCCATACTGCAAGGATCAATTGCTTGTTTAGTCTAGGGGAGAGTAAAAGTGCTTTTACTTACCTGATCCACTCTTTCTCCAGCAGATGGAGCTTCCCTACTCTGTGCTGGTGGACTGTCCTTTGGCGTCATCACATCCACTGCAAGGCTATGAACCCTGCATTGGTCTTGATGACATCAGGACATTCAAATATTAGAGCAAAGGAGAGAAGACACAACAGGGACCAGTCTAGCAGCACTGAAGAGCCGAGGATTGGGTTAGTAAATCTACTTTAACAAGTCCCACTGCAAGGGACAACTTTTTCCTTTTCCGGAGTTTAGCTTTAAGTAACAGAAGGGTTAAAAGGTTAAGCAATTGCGTGAAATTTGCAACTAAATAGAGGTTGCCTTGCTAGGACTGATAAGACAGTTACAGTGACCTAACTTCCTACTGGTGACCCAGAGAGCAATCAGATGCTGACAGAGCTACTAACTCTTCTTTTGCTCTGTCAAAAAGTAAAAAATACATTTTAGCTGAGTTCCACTTTACCTGTAATATCATGGCCTATGAATATGAAATGTTTGTTATTGCATGATACTACTACTACTATGATGTAAATTATAGCAAACATTTTCTCCACATGTGAAATATCCTGTTACTTAAACTGCACAGTCACTGCCATTGCTACAAAAGTATTTAAAGAGCTGGTGCTGATTCATTTTGCTATATGTTACTCACTACTACTGTATTAGGTTTTCTTGCATTTCCAATACCAATATAAAGATTACTACTGACATATTTTCATCTTTTCTTTGTTATGAAGGAGTTGAGGCTTCAAAAAGTCTGCCCGGCATGACTTAGGACAAATAAATAAATACAAAAGTAAAATTCTCTCAGTGGCTAGACAAAAACAGATGGATCCATCTATCATTGCTGGTATTATGTCCCGGGAATCACGTGGAGGAAGCATTCTGATAAATGGTTGGGGTGACCATAACAATGGCTTTGGCCTGATGCAGGTACTAGGATTTATGTCTACTTATAGAACATGTGAAGTGGTGCTGCCTTTGTTCTATATCTTTATTCATTATGCTCACTGTTTGATATTTTCATATGTAAAATGACATTTTAAATGTGTATACAGGTTTATTCAATAAGCAAGTTATAAGATGTAATAATTTTGTACAAAGATTTGTAAGTTCTGTCAGGTAAAGAGACTTTTCAGTGTCATTGGTTCCACACACTAGCCCCAGAATTGACGCGGGGGTTGACAGACTGAACCTATGAAGGGGACCAGGAAATTGACACTCCCAAAAGTGTCAAATTTTACAATTCTCCAGGTGGCACTTTCTCTTTACTAGAGTAGAGATCGGAGGCAGCAGGAGAGGTGAGTATTACATTTCTTATTTGAAAGGGAGTCCTCTATTTACACTATATACACAATTTTGCTCTACATAAACAATTTTACTGGTGGTCAGTACACAAAGTAAGCAGGAGACCAAAAATGACCATGCATTACAAATGATATTTTAAACATACACAAATATGCGTGCAGCCTCACAAATCTGGAAGAAATGTCTATGTATATCACTAATGAGGCTGATTTACTAAGAGCTCATTTACACTGGCTGCCAAGCAAGTGGAAAAACAATCAGCTGAGCCCCCAATCCCTGGGCAGCAAGTTAACCAGGCCAGTGGCCATGTTAGTACACAGCACTAGAGTTGGGGCACAAGAATATTATAAAGCCTAGCATGTTTGGCAAGCAGTACAATTGCCAAACATAACCAATTTAAGTGCACGGGACTGCTCCGCAAACTGCTATGCAACAGCAAATTAGTACTGCAGGCTTTCACTAGTCAAAACACTCAGGATCACTCCATAATTTGTGTGGACATTTATTCAATAATGTGAACGTGTAAATAAACAGGGATTTGCTTTTCACGCCATTGGATAATTGAAGTGAACATTCTCCACTATTTTTGCCCATTCAGGGCAAAGTGATAGCGTCTCTTAACTGCTTTCACACCGCCCTATAGAAGAAATCACATATATATGTGAATTTGCAGTTCCGGGTAGGGGGCACACACGCGCCCTACCCACACCACCGCCATTTGCGGCTCGACTGTCAATCTCTGGCACCCAGTGATCGCTGAGTATCTCTGACGGGGGAAAGACCTGTTTATAAACAACACAGATCTCTCTCTCCTGTCAGCTCCTGCACACTGCTTTGTATGTCTCTGCATAGTAAAGCCATACAAAGCAGCGCGCTTACAGTGAAAACACACACACAGCCCACATAGTGAAACAGCACACAGCTGACCCTTTGATCGCCCCAGATTTTAACCCCTTCTTGCCCAGTGTCAGTGCTTTTTATTAGCACTGATCACTGTATTGGTGTCACTGGGGATGTCAGTGACACCAAGTCAGTTCCCCCCAGTGTCAGAATGCCTGCTGCAGTCCTGCTATAAGGTTGCTGATCGCCGCCATTACTAGTAAAAAAAAAAATTCCAGTATATGTACCGTCATTTGTAAATGCTATAACTGTCACGTAAACCAATTCATTTACATGTATTGGGATTCTTTTTTTTTAGCAAAGACATGTAGCAGAATACATTTTGGCCTAAATGTATGAAGAAATTTGGTTTTAAAATTTTTTTACTGGACATGTTTAATAGCAAAAAGTCAAAAAATATAGTTTTTTTTCTCAAAATCGTCGGTCTTTTTTTGTTTATAGCATAAAAAATGCATAGGCAATCAAATACCACTGAACAAAGCTCTATCCTCTAAAAAGGATGTAAATTTCATTTGGGTGTAGCATTGCATGACCGCACAATTGTCAGTTAAAGTAACGCTGCACGTATTGCACAAAAATAGCCTGGTCAGGAACGGGAGTAAATCCTCTGGAGGGCGAGTGGTTAACCTCCAGCAACTTTAATATTCCCTGACCTTCCTTTGCTTTGCCCTTGGAAAATACCCAGTGTTTCTAGTGTAGCAGGCTCCTTGTACAAGAGGATTCAGAAGGAATCACATGATCAGCTGTCAGTACTTTCTCTCTCTCTCTCTTCTGTTTGTAAAACCTGGGCATTCTGCCAAGTTGATGACTCATCCACTACACAGCAAAGAATGCAGGGAAGGGGAGGAAGCAGGAAAGTGAAGGGGGAGAACAGAGAGACACGGAGGCTGGAGAAAAGACAGGGACATGTGGAGCCCGTCCAAGGAGAGGAGGAGGCACTACAGCACCCAGCGCGGATAGAGGGACCCTGCTGTGTGTTCAGAGTCTGGTGAGCTGTCCCACTGGAGAGAGTAAGACACACCATTCACACTTTGCATATAGACTGGGACATCCGCCCCCCCACTGCTGGGATCTCACCATCCGGGGCCCTGTGCAAGCCACAGATCCCTCTGCCTGCTTTGCCCCTCACCACCAGTGTAATTGAGACTGTCTGCCCCGGGGACTGACACATACTGGGAGATTGCATCCTGCGACTGCTCCTGGTCTTGGGGTGCTTTGTGTTGCGTTTAGACACTGAGGTTGGACCCTCTCAGCCCAGAAACCTAGTGAAATCTGATGTAACCCACACCAGCTGAAACTCCAAAGAAGCCTTCAGCTGCTATTTACTTCATTATAAGGACTAAACGTGCACCAACTAAAGCTCCACCGTTACAAGGACTGACCAGGTGTGGGTAATACATTTCATTGATAGAGCATAAAGTAAGTTTATTTGTTTGATATCAGTTGTATTCTGCTTAAAGTGCAACTCTGCCCATCCGGAGACTCTTGGCTGTGAAGCCCTCTAGTGGCAGACCAAATTTACTGCATTGCATAAAAGAAGAAAAGTAAGTTTTGAAGTTGAAAGGGGAACCCCACCCCTCTACACTGCATTTCATTCTCCGTAAAATTGTTCTTGTTTCATTTAACCCTGTGTCAGCAAATTTCTTGGCGGGGTATTTGCTATTCATTACCAGTTGTGCCAGAGGGATTGGGTTTGCTTAGGGTTGGATCTATTGAGCGCAGGACCCATAATATATTCCAGCTTGTCCCGAGGGGCAGTGCTACACGTGGGGGCTCGTCCGGGATTCTTGCTGCTCAATTACCCAACAACCACTCAAGCAGTGCCCTATACCAACTCCTAAGATGGACGTCGCAGCCGCAACCAAGTGGTGCAGCAGGGAAAATGCTGGCCCTGAAAGAGTAGATGAGGTTCGGGCGCAACAAGTCCTACGGGGCCAGGCCCCTAGACCCCATTGCCATTCTATTACGAACTCGGCGAGATGGTGGCCTCCTGAACTATCCAGACTTGATTCGGACTGTGTGAGAGAGGAGGAAGCCATGTTGGATGACAAAGAGAGACAGTCAGACTCTGTTGTAGGGGTCCGGGTAGTCAATGTGGGAGGTGACACCCCTGAAGTTGAACTCCTTAAGACTCAGGTGTCCCAACTAATGGAGATGGTGACCTTACTAATGGCGGGGACCGTCGGGATTAGCGAGAGAGACGAGAGCAGTTTTCTGAAAACCTGTCAGGAGTTGCCCCAACGCAAGCAACTAGTCCCACCATTCAAATGACCTGCTTTAATTGTGGAGGGATCCCGGGACATGTCAGAAGAGTCTGTCCAAGCCCCAGGAAGCCTGAAGCTAAGCGCCAAAACCCGGCGGAAAACTTCAGAGGGCCCTGGTGAAGGAGCAACCCAGGGACCCACCACCGCCGCAGCTAGCTCCACTCAACCAAGTAAAAGGGGGGTGAGGAGAAAATCTGGCCCTATCCAGAAGGACCCCACCATCCCTTACAAACAGCCTAGGGAAAATGCCACTTCACCTCAGGGAGTCGGTGCACACCTCAAACCTGGGAGTCAACCACGGCTTAGGCCGAGCCAAAACTCCCCCAGGAGGAGAGTAACGGATAAGAACTGCAGAACAGAAGAAGACGACTACCTGTTCACCACTCCCTGAGAATTTAGTGGGACCCTCCCCTGTCGTCCCGATTCAGGTAGAAGGGATTTATACCAGGGGCTCTTCTGGACACCGGAGCCCAAGTAACCCTTCTGTACCGAGACTTCTATGACAAGCATCTGAAGCATTTGCCCTTGCAGAAGCTGGAAGATCTGGAAATATGGGGCATAGGAACCCAGAAGTTTCCCTATGATGGTTACCTATCGGTCAGACTAACTTTTGATCCTTCCATGACAGGGGAAGGCTGAGACTTTCGAAGCCTTAGCCGTCATCTGTCTCGTCCCCGGCCGCCTGGGGCCAATGGGAGTCCCCTAATCATAGGGACCAACACCAATCTTGTCAGAAGGCTGCTGGCGCCATTGGTCGAAGAGCCCAATGATCAACCCACTTCTGTACATCCCATGCTGAGGCAAGCATATCAGCGCCTGGTACAAGGAGAGGAGAGCCCCAGCGGAAAGAATAGGGAAGATATGGCGCCTGGATCAACATGAGAAGGTGCTACAACCCGGAGAGGTGGCGTGTTTACAGGCATCAGTCAAATTGACCTGGAAGCAGCCAGGCCCCTTCATTGTCCTTGAGGTGGTGGCTGTGAAGAGAACACAGGAGTGGAGATCCTCCGGAGGTAGTGTCAACAAAAGCGCTACGGAGGAGCCATGGAAAGTTTTCGGTCAGTGTTCATAATCCAACTGCTGCCCCAGTGAAAATCCCAGCTCGGGTGCTGTTAGGACATGTGGATCCTGCAACCCCAATCTTGCCCACTGAGCTAGGGACGGAAGAGAGAGAAAGAAATCCCTGTCGATGCATTTTTACCCAAGGAACACCCCCCTTTCCCCGGAATGGAGAGAGAGAAGCGAAGAATCAACTCCTAAGGTGGCGGGCTGCATTCTCAGAAGTGAGTTCGATGTGGGGTGTGCAGAGAGTGCCCATCATCGGATCCGGCTTCGAGAAGACGCCCCATTCAGGGAAAGGGTTCGACGAGTTCCATTGGGAGATTTGGAAGACCTGCGTGAGCAATTGCAGAGTTGAAGAGGACAGGCATCATCAGAGGAGTCCCGAAGCCCATACGCCTC